GACGAACACTTACACGGCATGAAGGATTGTAAGCCTGCTTTATGAACTGCTTAACTTAATCTTTAACCTAAGTAAATTAGGCAATGTAAAACTAATTAAATAATAGTTAAAATGGGTAACTGCTTGTTGTTACATTTTTGTTGCGTGCCATATATCGTACTCGGGAGTCTATTTTCACATATGCTTTGTTAGTGGACATTTGTTGGTCATTCGCGCACGTAACAATTCATTGATGCGATTCAAGGAAAATTCATTACCTGACGAGGGAAATTCCGCGTTAAATTGCACTTGGAAACCGATATCGCACGAATCGCGAAGCGATTCGTGCGATATCGGTTTTCAAGTGCAATTTAACGCGGAATTCGCTCGTCAGGTAATGAATTTTCCTATATTATTGTAAAGCGCTTTTGAATATTGACCAATAGTTAATGCGCTCTATAAATATATTATTATTATTATTATTATTATTATTATTATTATTATTATTATTATTACAACTTAGGGTTATTTCCTTTATTCTCATGACCTTAATGTTTCGAGGAGAAATGAAACGCAAACCACTCTCAGGGGTCAAAAGATTTACTTCTGCTGAAGTCCAGCTATCATTTTTTAAGTTCATCTTAGAAATGCCAACATACAATCAACACTTTGTATTCAAACCTGTCTACATTTACGAGTTTTATGGCATTTTAAAGCAATTTAAGTTCACTGAAGTTCTTTCACTGAATGAATAGCACTTATGCGCGATGTCGTCAAAACAATTTCTCGCAGCGTCAATCCGAGTCTTGGTGATGATCGCTTAGGGTGCTTTGTTGGTGTTTAGACAAATAATCAATTCCCCTCGTCTGTTTTTTTCACTTTTTGTTCCAAATGCCTCGATGGTGTAATGTCTAAGGCTGTACAAACTCTTCAGAAATGAAAATAAAAAAGTCCTGGCATCGCTTACCGCTGGAGAACGAAGAACTACTTTAGAAATGGCTTGCAAAAATTCGGCGAACAGACACGCCAGTTAATGAGCACTCGAGGCTATGTGGCGACCACTTTGAAGCCGACTGTTTTAGGAAAATCCCGGGTTCCTTGCTTGTCAACTTTGAAACCAGGGTCAATTCCCACAAAGTTTTGCTTTGTGCAAGAAAAATCACCGAGGAAACCTCCAGCAGAGCGAACTCGGTCGAAGGCGAAAGCGTACGTAAACACAGCGTCGGACGATTTGCCAGAAACATGTGATGGCTTTGAAAGTGACAGCATTGTCTGGATCAATAAGGTCCTTATCAAGGGCACTATTTCTATAACTTTGAACTGTGACAGGGACAGTTGATTTCTTTAAGTTTGATCATCCAACGTAAAATACCGGTATGCCGGGGAAATAAGCTATTCACGTGTATTTACCTTTCGACCAAGGATCGCTTCGTTCCGCTCTATTTCGCTCCTCTCCTGTAGGAAAACCATCTCTTTAACGCAGGAATAGTCAGTTGACTAGGGGTGTTCACTCATAAGGAAGCTCCGTCGATGTCATCCTCAGAAAGAGTGATTTTAGGCGAATTTCCTACAGTCATGTCCGATGTGACATATATTTTTCTCTGATAATCCCGCGAAACCATCACCACCAATGTTGTCACTTTGAAAGCCATCACATGTTTCTGGCAAATCGTCCGACGCTGTGTTTACGTACGAAGTCGGCTGCTTCCGTTCGACCGATTTTCGCTCTGCTGGAGGTTTCCTCGGTGTTTTTCGTTGCCCAAAGCAAAACTTTGTGGGATTAGACCCTGGTTTCAAGTTGACAAGCAAGGAAACCGGGATTTTCCAAAAAACAGTCGGCTTAATTCAAAGTGGTCGCCACATAGCTTCGAGTGCTCATTAACTGGCGTGTTTGTTCGCCGAAATTTTGCAAGCCATTTCGAAAGCAGTTCTTTGTTCTCCAGCGGTAAGCGATGCCAGGAATTTTTTTTTTTTCATTTCTGAAGAGTTTGTACAGCCTTAGACATTACACCATTGAGGCATTTGGAACAAAAAGTGAAAAAAACAGACGAGGGGAATTGATCATTTCTCTAAACACCAACAAATCACGCGAAGCGATCACCACCAAGACTCGGTTTGACACTGCGAGAAATTGTTTTGACTTCATCGCGCAAAAGTGCTATTACGAAAGCTTAACTCATGAGGCGTAACCAAGCGAAACATTATTTTCCTTACAGAGGGTAACTATCTTCGCATTAATTGTTTTCTCCGTTCTTTACGAAACAACCTGTTTGCCTCAAGATCTGGACAGACAAGCCTTTAGCTTTTATCGGCCACCCAAGTATAGCACAGAGATCAACCAATCAGAAAGAAGCTCCATCTTAGTGCGCCTCAAGCGTCAAGCTCAATGACAAGTGTTGTGTTAAGGAGATTCTTGTCTTGCATGGAAGAACAACATTTCGATGCCAGGAAGCGCACCTCGATTGTTTTAGGAAAACAGATTCTCAAAACCAGCAGTCCTTTGGAGTGTGTGAAACCGTTAGGGACAGTGATAATTTTGTGATTGCCTGTCGCTGCGCCGCTAGAAAAAAATAGATGGAAAAAAAACTGCCTAACTGACTTTTTTACTTGTTGAACACTGTGAAGTAATCATTCAATGAATTTTGTAACCGTTTGTTTTAAAAGGTAAAGAGATTAAATTCACTTCAAAGTCTAATCATATTTATATTCCAGCGCCTGACATGTGCGGTCACGCGCGGTACCTTCTATAAAAATTGTTTATAATTCTGTTGGTTTTTACGCTAACTACAAACTAGGTAAAAAGAAAATAGGGTGAAGTCAAACTGCCTGAGTGATTGACTGTTTGACAAACCGAATTATTGTCAGTGTTTAGAAGGAGAAACTAATTGTGCTTGAAACTGACAGCATCTTTATACTCGGTGATTTTAACTGTTTTTTATTAAATAGGGACCCTGATGGCATGCCTACTTTGGGCAAAACGAAGAAGCTTATAGAGACGTTTGAAGACTTTAATATGCAAAACATTATCTCTCAACCATCTAGAATAACATCTACAACGGAGTACCTAATTGACCTTATTGTTACAACTAAAGCAAACATGGTTCGTCAATGCAACGTGCTGCCATTGGGCATATCTGATCACAGTTTAGTTTACGCCACTTTGAAGTTGAAATCCAAAAGACCCCCTCCGAAGATTGTCCGCTCAAGAAACTTCAAGAGATTCAGCATTCAAGATTTCAAGAAAGATATCGAACGTATACCTTTTCACGTACTGGATATATTCGAAGACAAAGACGACGTCCTTTGGGGCTGGAATCTTTTGTTCAACGATGTTTGTGATGTCCACCCCCCTTATAAATACGTCAAGGTTCGCAGCGTCAGTTCACTATGGATTAACAGCGAAATAAGATTAAAGATGAACAAACGGTTTAAATTATTCAAAGTAGCCACTCGCACAAAAGATCCGGTCAAATGGAAGGAATACAAAAGATTACGGAATGAAATCACCACGGACGTACGTCGGGCGAAAACTAAACATTTCAAGTACCAACTACTTGAAATAAAAACCTCTGCGGAGTATTGGAATCTTCTTCGCAATGCCACTGCACCAAAACTCAGAAAGGCTATTGGACCCTTGAAGAGGGAAGATGGTTCTCTGGCAGTCGATAGTAAGGAAAAATCAAATCTGATGAATTCTTTCTTTTCTAATATAGGAATTAATCTAACAAGGAACTTTTCATTCACAAAAGTAAAAGCTGCCACAACATTAAAGGCTGTTCCTACTATCAAAGACATTATTTTATCAAAATCCGAAATTGAAAAGTATTTATCAGATCTTAAATGGAATAAAGCTACCGGTCCCGACAAGATTTCTTCCAGAACTCTAAAAACTGCCGGGAGTGCGTTGGTCCATCCATTATACCATATTTATTGTGAAAGTGTAAGATCTGGCTACGTGTTTGAACAATGGAAAGTGGCAAGGCTGAGCCCTATCCACAAAAAGGACGATGAGAGCGACATGGGCAACTATCGGCCAATTTCTATTCTCAGTATACCCAGCAAGATCCTTGAGTCAGCGGTCTCTTAAAAAATCGTCAACCATACATTCTACGAGCACAGTTTAGTCACTAAAAACCAATGGGCTTATAGGAAAGGCTTTTCTACTGAATTAATGCTTATAAAGTTGACAGAGCAATGGAGACAAGCAGTTGATAACAATAAAGTTGTCGGCGTGGTTTCTGTCGATTTTCAAAAGGCCTTTGACTGTGTATCGCATAAAATATTGCTGAATAAACTCGAGATTGACTTTGGGATCAAGGGCAACCTGGCTGCTTGGCTTCACAGCTACTTAAAGGGGAGGCGACAGTTCACAGTCATTGACGGCGCAGCCTCTGATTTTGCTCGCGTTAATATGGGCGTTCCACAGGGATCAGTCCACGGTCCAACCTTGTTTGCACTTTACACAAATGATCTACCTGATAATATAACAAATGCAACTGTTTTTATGTATGCAGATGATACCACCCTGTTCTGTATCGGAGACACCGTAGACATTGTTATTGCCAAACTGAATGCTGCTATCAAGGAACTGGAGCTATGGTGCTTAAGAAATCAACTATTGCCTCACCCCAAGAAATGCGAAGGCATGCTAATTCATCGAGGAAACTTCACCGGTCCACTACAGTCATTAATACTGATGAATCATTGTATAAGATGGGTTTAACACACCAGGCTGCATGAAGTCTATATTGATAATGGACTTAACTGGGACTACCATGTCAAAGCATTAAAGATCAGCTTTGCAAATAAGCTTAACATGCTGAAGCGCAGCTTGTTTTTACCAAGACCCATGCTACTGGACTTATACTTCAAAGTAATCTACCCATCAATTATATATGGTATCACTGTCTGGGGCGGCCTTACTACTAAGGAGGGCCTGATTGCATTAGAGTCTTTACATTGTAGAGCGGCAAAATTAATTTTTAACAGGTCATGGGATATGCCCAAGTCTGAAGTACTAAGCAAGGCTCGATGGTCTTCCATTGAAACCACATATAAAGTTGATTTGGCTAAACTGATGTTCAAAATAGATAGGAAGACTTTACCTATATCCATCTTAGATACCACCGAAGAAGTTGACGTGAATACTAAGAAAAATCTAAGAAGTAATGCCAACATAAAAGTACCAAAATTCAATACATATTACATGAAAAACAGTTTTACCAGAAGAGGACCTATCGTTTTTAACACACTTCTCCAAGAATCAAATCCAAGAAATATAACCATTAAGCAGCTCTCCTCGTTAGCTTACAAATCAAAGGCACTTTTAAATTTGAACTTTAACTCTATTTCTTCACAGACAGTGAACTTTAAGGATCCCAATTTTAAATATTTTTAGATCTTCTAATTTTGACAGGCTACTTTAATTATTTTATTTTACTGCATTTAATTTTATTCCATTTTACTTACGACCCCATAAGCGTGTAGTCGCTCTAACAATTATCGTGTTTAAATAAAGTCTTTGTATTGTATTGTATTGTGCAAGCTGAAAAACTGACCGAACGCTGATTTGAAAGCACGAGAAAATTGGTTATTAAAGGTTTAAATTTGCAATGGGACAGGAATGAAAAAATACGAAAGGAGTTTACCCAAACACACGAAATATTGTGTAAATATACCAGATGCGGTTCTGTAAAGTCATTACGCTATAATTCGTAGCTTCTCTTCGTCTTAAACAATGTAAGCGCATCAATGGATTGCCTTTTAAGGCAATCCAAACCTTATTTAAAAATAATTATAGTCAAGGTTTCAAAACATGATTTCCCACGCCAATCCCATCCCTTCTTCACTTTTCTTTGGGAGTGCAATAAGGCTACGGACACAATTTCTATGAACAACGTTAGACAGTTTTAGATTGACAGTCGTTTATCCTATCACAAAAAATAAATAAAGAAGACTTATTGCAGTATCTAGCAAATTCGTGAATGCATATCCTCTCTTTATTACATGCACACTTGTAGGGCACTTATGTTCTTCTTACTGTTTCAATGCAAAAATTCGATGGATGCACATGCACAGTTTAAGTTTCCTATGTTTTCTTACAATGTCTAACATTATTTATAATTGTAATACAACAGGCTCCTATCTAACCTATAGTACTCAAATGTAAAAACTTGGAAAAACAACCTAGAATTTGTACTGAAGTGATATATAGGGAACCCAGTTATTTGATAAGGCAAAGAAAAGGCTTTTACATCCACATAACTCAGCTTGTAAATAAGCTCTCTGTGCATACATGTGCAGGTAATATGGGTTAAAGTATTTAATCAAATCACACTGGACATGTTTAAAAGAACTACATGCACTGTTGCATTATTGTTTGTGTATCTTAAATTTTCGACCTCACCAAGCATGGGAGCATGTTTCCAGACTCCCACTCCCTTCACAAAGGCATGTGGCAAAGCAACATATCATGCTTGCTATGCCAGCATAAACAAACTCAACTATCTACTCAGTTCAGATCATACCCCTATGGCATTTTCTAATAACAACCCTGAAAAGGGCCTAAATTTACAAAATATAAAGGAGAATGATAAAGGATATAGTAAAAATTGACAAAGGATGAAAATTACAGTACTGGATTAGGGGTCAATTTCTCAAAAGTCCTGCTAACTGAATGGGCCAGTAAAGCTGCTCTGTTTTCATTCAGGATGGGGATTTCAAAAGTTTTGAAAACAATACACTAAAACTATCAGCTAAAGGAATAAAATGGACTGGTTTAGGTGCCAGAACCTGCTTTTCTATCCTTCAAATTTTGATTTTAAAAAAATGATATTGAGCCTGTTAATAAGTTACCAGGACTTTCAAGAAACGGCCTCTGAAGATTTTACATTGGGAGCTAAATTCTACAATCTACAATACAGCTCCTTCAAATGGGCCTTTAACACCCAGTTTTAAGATTTTCAAGCCAAACAATCAAACAAATTCTGTAAAAGAACAAAATTAAGCCTTGTGCTCCTCAGGTTGGTACATTTTAATCTACGTTTACAGGCAAATGTACATGTACACTAAAATGTATCTGCCTCAGAAAATCTAATTGTCACCAAATCGCTGTGAAGAAATATTCTGAGGAATGGCAATCTGAAGAGAGTCTACCATGTTCTCTAGTTCTGATAAACCCTTCTCTTCCTGGGTTTGGTTCACAATGTGATACCTCTCATTTATCTGGGTTGCAGCCCAGGCTGCATATTTAGAATTTTCCTTCTTGGCCTTGGCATCTTTGGAGGCATTTGCCAGATGAGCAGAGGCCATGAAAAAGCCAAAAAGAGCCCTCATGTTGTTATTATCGAGTTTGAGAGCCTGTGCGAAGAATTTCCTTGCCTTTTCAACGTTTTCGTTTCCTCCAAGGGTATACAGGATTTCGGCATGCCTCTGATGGAACAGATGGTTGTGAGGATTTATTAAGATCAATTCTTCCATGCAGAACTTTGCCTTTTTGTAATCTTGCTGTGAAATGTAGAGTTCAGCCAACTCATTCCACGCCTCTTGATCACTCATGAATTTCTTTAAATAGTCGTTCAGCTCTTTAATTGCTTCTCCGACCTTGTTCTCTGCCTTAAGGATGGCGATCAGCCTTTTACGGACTCCACCATTCGCCGGTTCAGCCTCCAGAATCTTCTCGTAGATCTGTTCGGCTTCGTCGTACTTATCAATCGATTCCAGCCGCATTGCATTGAGTTTTTGCACTCGAATGCTGTTCGGAAATTGTGATTTGAGTTCCCTTAAACACATGGTCGCCAAATCCATTTTACGACAGTCGATGGAAGCCAAGAATACTTGCTCGTAAATCGTCCAAAGTTCGTCTCCAAGTTTGTTTCCATGCTCTAAAATAAGGCATTCACCAAGTTCAGTGACCTCTTCACTGTTTCGAAGAGGCTCATCGCGCCATTGTCTCATTTTTTGCCTAGCGACTTCAAGGTCGACTACTTCGTCCGCCATCTTGAACATATAAGAGCAGGTGACGCTTTTCGTTTTTATCCAGGGTAGGGAGGGGAAATCTTTTGTTCATCGCTTTAAATATTTTGGAAAGAACAAAGGCAAAAGTCATAAATTGAACCGGAAAAACTTAGATATAACAATCAGAACGTTTTCAAATGTGCTTTATTTGAAGGTTAAAGTTTATTTCTATACGCCCAAAACGTAGTTACCTCTCTGCCCCTTCCCCTGACATAATTAAATGGCCTGGTGCTTTCTTAGACGAGAGAGACTGGTACTAAACTGTAAAATAAAGATGGCGTCTTCAGCTGTTTGACTTGAAGGTCGAAAGCGATCGATGTCTTCAACGATTGCTGTTAATATTTTCACATCAGATACTACACAGCGAACCTTTTAAGGGAAAATCATGAATGTCATTTTGGCAGTCAAGCAGTACGTCACAAAGATGATCGTTGATAGTGGGCAAGGAATGAAAGTTCTTCTTATGGACAAGGAAACAGTAAGCGGCAAATTATATTCCAGCTGAGCTGGATGAGAGGCTTGCATGGCCCTGTAGAATTTACATGTTTTTCCCTTTCTCTTTTTTCTATTATTCCTGAATTTCATATAATTGGAAGTTTCTTATCCAAACTTTGCATACCTTTCTTTTAAGTAGCCATGATTACCTTAATTAACAAGCCTAATTCGTTAGTATTTGGAAATTTGGAAATCTGTCGAACCACACGAAACAATCTTATACTTCAAAATTTTATCGTGGATAAATTTTATTTACTCGCAGCGTATGATGCTCTGTCGATAATTCCTGTAAATCTAAATCCAGCTTAACTTTCATAGCACCAAGGAAGCGAAACATCACTACGAATGTTTAGCTTTGAAAGTGTTTGAAAGTCAGTTTCAGTGAGCAAGTTACTTTTTGGCTCTCTATCAGGAATCCCAATGGTTGAGTGAAATAAAAACAGCGTGAATAATGTCGATGTTATGTCTGATTCTGTTTTTTAATTTCTGTTTTTGTGAGCTACAGCTGTTTCTTGCCCTGAAAAGACAAAAATTCAGATGCAAAGGGTTTGTTTGTTTTGTTTGTTTTGTTTTTACTAGACAGGTGTGGTGAGTATGGTGTACAGTCAGAGTGAGGTGCTACAAAAAGAGGTTTATCTTTTTGAAAGAATTGACACCAGTGGACGTGAAACAATGAAACATTTAAAGGCCATTTGCTTCTTGAGACCAACAAAGGTACAGTGTAGAAAAAGACCTCTAATTATAAAAAAATATATTCTAAGTTGATGGAAACTTGATAAAAGTTAAAAAATAACTGAGTGATAACAGGACATGTTAGTTTTGAAAAACTCAGCACATTTTGATTTGCCATAAGGATGGAACAGATATATTCCTTTCGAAATTTTTCCAACAATTGTCTTTTCTTGGATGTTTACAGTTCTTTGCCGAAGAGAAAAATAGCATTTATCAAAATGTTGCCAGTACACGTAGTGACAAGAACGAAAGGATCTCATCTTTTATCTACAGTTGAATAACAACCTGATGTTCTTTTATTATTTATTATTTACAAGGAGAATGTGGAGCACCTTTGCAGTGAGCTAAAAAATCCAAAATATGGAACTTATTACCTATGTGAGTATTTCTTAACATCTTACACAGTGTATCGCTCAGTTTTGTAAAATAAAATAGAGTTCTGAGGAGTCCTGTAAGGAATTCTTCTCTAACTGTAAATTGTTGTTAACCCATTAATAGCTGCAGCTTTTGTGAAAAATTGTGTTTTGAAGCTAGTCGAGCAGATTTCGGGTCACTTTTGTGGTTTTAAAAGCTCAAACTTACCACAAACCCATTCACAGCTTGTATACTCGACGGCCTTTCGATCCAAATGCAAAATGGTGGCCTGAAAATCTCGGGCAGGCTCAGAAAGCAAAATTTCGCTTTTCTCTCTTTCTCTTACCCTTTTTTTCCCCTTTCCTTGCCTGAAGTTTCTCCTCACTTGCTGGAAATTTAGTAGGCTTCATTTTGGTGTAGAAATTTTTTAGGAAACTACTCATTTTCAAACCACATGCTCAGAAAGGTAGGTAGGTAATGGAACAAGATTTTCGTGCAGATTTTCAGGTCAAAGTTACATGGTTTTTTGGCTATTTCTCCAATCTCCTTCACTCAATTGCGCTCATTCTGGTATCGTTTGTAAGATATTTTCAACCTGTTTAAGTACATGGTCAAAGTCGTGCTCCAGGGTTAAAAGTGATGATGTCACAAGGTGTAGAAAGGGTGTGGTTCCACATGGGTGCTTATGGGCGCACTGGACGTCGATGGGTTAATTAACACAGTGACTGATTTATCTTGTGAAGATTTTATTAAAGTAAAGAATGTTCTGTTTTGCATTGCAGAAAGTAATAAAATTGATTTCAGTCATAAACTTACACTTTTTTTCTTTCCTCTTTAATTTTCCTGTAATTTATTGTCACTTACAGTTTGGCATGCCAGACCTTTTGGATTGATTTATTTAAAGTCCCATTCCTCACTGGGGCTTATATTTTTTCTTTGTCTCATGAAGAAAATCATCCTTCTTTAGACTTCTCTAAGTTTAAGTACTGGTTATCCTATTGTTTCAGACTTTTCCAATTTTATTGGCAAGCCCAGTATCAGAGCAATTGCAGAAGCAGATGATCATGAAGTTGTAAGGGAGGTCCAGGTAATAATTATTAGAACCTTATCATTGATGATAATAAATGGTTTAAACGCATTTAACAATAATAGTTACTGTAATAATAATAACTTAATATTTATATTGTGCAAATTAACATGTGGATATGATCAAATGCTCATCACAACACTTTTCGGGGGACTTTGGCCGGACTGCATCATCAGTTTACAAACAATCGAAGGAAACTTATTTGAAAATGCCCCCTCCCTCAATTTCCAGTAAACAGGCCAGACCACATCACAGTAATCTTGTGAGTGGGTTCTTTAACGTCCCCTGCCTAATCAAATTAACTAATTAATAGATGCAGGAGACGGGACCTACAGTTTATTCGTCCTTATCCGAGAAGACTAGAATGTCTATCCATTTCTTGATATTATAGAAAGGTAGTGCATTCTCCTCAGTTATTTGGAGACCTTGAGTGTTGGTCCAGCCGGGGCTCAAACCGTTGACCTCGACCTCCCGCACAACAGTCCAGCACTCTAACCAATTGAGCTAACCGGGAGACTGTTTCTATGGAAACCCATAACCAGTAACCTACATGTAATTGGGCGTTTTTCTTGAGTCCTGTGTTTATGCATCTTGATTTGAACATTCTCTATGGGAAAATGCATTCATTCTCAGTAGTTCTATATGATTCAAGCAAGGCTTAAATATGGATCTCTCTATGTAAAATGGGTCTTGTTAACTCACTATTAATTTTGTCCTCCATATTGTGTTTTTATTCTAGAGGCTTAAATGCACATGTACTTTTCAGTTTGAGTTGTGGTTGGTAACAGTAAAATAGTTAAAAGATGTTGTGTCTATTTTAGTGCCCATAGAAGATTCCACCTTTAATGGTAGCTTTTCTTCCCTACTCATCCCCTATCCTTCTTCCCTATTCATTCCCCTATCCTTCTCGGATAAGGACGAATAATTTTTGTTGTATCCTCTTTGAAGAGTGGAACTAATTTATTTATTTATTTATTTATTTATTTTTTTTCATTTTTGGCAGGAATTTTACTCTGACTATTTTGCTGTTAGTCCACATGTGTTTTCACTAAACCTTCCAAGTTGTTCGCGGGTGAGTGTTTTCTTATTTGATATTATATTATTATATCACTATTTTACAATTATAATGTGTAGATGAAATCGAAAAGGCAGATCATTTGTAACATGCTATGGGCAATAAAATTTAATAATTCAATTACTCTGAGTGGATTTAATTCTCATTCATTGTGAGTAGCACAAAACTAATTTTTTTATCAATGTGAATGTCCAGTAATAATTAAGTCCTTACTTTTTTTTTTTTTTTTTTTTCATTTTTCAAACTGTAAGGTTTAATTTCAAAACTTAAAGTATTTTACAAAAACATGATGAACTAAGCAAAACCATGTGCATCTTTTTCTCTAAAATACGGCACATAAGTGATTAGCAATGTTATATACTAGGAAAATTCATTACTTGATGAGGGAAATCCGCATTAAATTGCATGGGAAAAGTGCGATAACAGGATTCAAGTGCAATTTAACGTGGAATTCACGAGTCAAGTGATGGCTTTTCCTTGAATCACATAATTGAATAAAAACAAGAAAAAAAAAAAGAAAACAGCACTACTTATAGTTGTTATGTATAATGTAGATGCAAAACAATATCACTTAGCCTTGTTTTCAAGTCGCAATTCCACACTAAATTCCTCACTTTGTTAACCAATCAGAATGCAAGATTCTATTCAGTGATGCAATTCTGAGTTGAATTCTGATACAAGATTTTACTTATCATTATATGATTACAATTTTTTTCTTGAAGGGTGGATCATGGGATGGTGAGGCATTAGATCGCTCCTGCCAGGGTATTCTGGCTGTTTTGTTATCATTGAAGAAATGCCCTTTGATACGATATCAGCAATCCTCTGAGATGGCAAGGAGACTCGCTGAAATTATTAAGGTCAGAACTTTAATCAAACATTTGTTTGATTAGATCACTATTTATCACAAGTATAACATATCCAACTTCACGGTTCATGTGGATTGGGCCATAGATGGTTTTCTCCTTTTTTCCTATTTGCTGGGGTTCCTCTCCTGTGCCTTACTGCAGTCGAGAGACAGTTTGTCAATAGTTTTAATAACAAATGATCACCTTTTCTTGAAAGGAGAGGGTTACACAAATCTTTATTGCTACTTTCAAACCGAGCAAAATTGAACCAAATTGAACCAGTAGTACAACATGTTGCATAAACTCAGAAACCCTACAGCTTTTTTTCCTTTCCATTGAACATCTTTCCTTTCTTTTCTTGTGTATCTTTTTGAGTTTTTTTTTTTTTTTTTCCTTTGGTGTGTGTGTGTTTTATTTCCAGTTCAAGTGTGTGTGTGTGTGTGTGTGTGTGTGTGTGTGTGTGTGTGTGTGTGCGTGTGTGTGTGTGCATATGTGCGTGTGCGTGTGCATGTGTGTGTGTAAGCCTCAGATGAAACTGACTAGATCTTTTTGTTTTTGATTGTTTGTTTGTTTGTTTGTTTGTTTGTTTTTTTTTAATTTAGCACAAGATAAATGAGGAGGCTTCGCTGTTTGACTTCAGAAGAACAGATGTTCCTCCCGTACTGTTGATTTTAGACAGACGAGATGATCCAGTCACGCCTCTACTAAATCAAGTGAGTATTTACAATCTTGTCTCAATCCCTTTGAGTGAAGGCAGTGTGTAAAATTAGTAGAGCAAAATCACTGGACTGGACCACGAGCTAATTTCCCTTTTTGGTGCACAGATCTCATCTCTTGGAGAAAGAGAGTTCGTAGTACTACGTGCATTTTGCAGATTTTTATCTTGCCTCACATGATTACTCTGAGTACTTTGTGCACGCCTTTGTCGCGGTCTTGAACGGTCAATACATCGCTGAAGATGGCAGACAAACAACATGCTCGATGCATCACAATTCAGAGACCAGATTTTTGAGAGTTGTTTTGTAACCATTCATCCTTACCTCTTGTGTTTTGTAACCATTCATCCTTCCCTCTTGTGTTTTGTAACCATTCATCCTTGCCTCTTGTGTTTTGTAACCATTCATCCTTGCCTCTTGTGATTTTTATTTGCTCTGACGATGGGCTAACGCCCGGAACATCAGCTTTAAAAACCCTTTACAGTGGCCAATTTACATCATAAACTCAGTTTATTAAACCAAATTATAGTTTCTCGTTCTGCCGTTTGGTTGATGAGTGTCTGCCTGATTTAAAGTCAGGAATATTGACTAACTAGAATCTACAGCGGTCGATAATCTTTTTCCCATTTAATTTCCAGTGGACTTATCAGGCAATGGTACATGAGCTCATTGGTTTGAGAAATAACAGAGTAGATCTGTCGAGGTGTCCTGGCATTACCAAAGAACTTCAGGTATCAAAATTCACGCTTCTGCTGTACGGGAAAAAGCTCATTTAAATTATCCTGGCCTTGTTCGTCATTCGAAGGCACACTGTAGACTTACACAGAGCCCTAGACATTTTATCTTTCCGCAGCATGAATTATATATGAATCAGCGTTAAGGCTTTGAACTGGAACCTTCTTCTGGGCATCGAAGGTTACGCCCATAATTTGCTGGTATATTTACGTACCCTGGCCCCTGAGTTGAGAGAGGCATGGGGAGAGTTAAGATCCTCACTAGCTAAGAATGCACAATTCTGCTTGTGCTCAGTCGAACCAGGACCAGGTTTCATTTTAATGATGTTCTTCACAATTATTTTGTAACAGGAAGTCGTTTTATCAGCTGAACACGACGAGTTTTATCAACGGGTAAGCTTTTAATTCCTGAGTATTGATGGTGTTAAAAGCAAAAAACTCAGAAAAAAATCATTTCATAAGCACAAATTTTCTTTTCTTTTTTATTTTAATCAGAACATGTATCTCAATTTTGGAGAAATTGGCCAGAACATTAAAACACTGATGACAGAGTTTCAACAGAACGTGAAGAGCAACCAGCGTCTAGAGTCCATCACCGATATGAAGGTGAGTCAAAATATATCCTAAAAAAATCAAAGAGTGTCCTGAAAGTCCTTGTGATAAAGCAACAAGAACTTTGGTCAAACAGCTTTAAAGTACCATTGCCCAAAATGTCATCTTCTTGCACTACTGATGTCGGGCAGCGTCTTTCGAAGTAACTCTATGCTCTCCCTATTTACACCGACATTATTTTTCGTGACATTTTTTCTTTCGTAGTTTTGCGAAAAGCATAATTTTATGAAATGTTTTCTTTTATTACGAGACTTGTGAAGGAATAACTTCTCGATCACAAAATTTTAAGTGTAGATGACTTGACAACGACAATTTGCAAGGGAATTTTGAAGGGTTAAAGGACAATTCTGCAAGAATTTTCCTTGACAACATTGACAAGCAAGACAAAATCAGCTCATATTCTCGTGTAACTGACAAGCCGTCCTGGCTAATTGTTTATATCATTTGTCATGAGAAACGTGCTGAATAAATGTGGCTATAGTGTGTCATGTTTTTTCGTTGCAACTAGATGTACTCGGTATCTGTTTGGTTTTGAATGTGTATTTTTCCAACAGGCTTTTGTGGAGAATTATCCTCAGTTCAAAAAGATGTCGGGAACAGTGTCAAAGCATGTTACTATTGTTGGTGAGTTGTCTCGTTTGGTTCAAGACAAGTCACTTTTGGACGTTTCTGAAGTGGAACAAGATCTCGCCTGTCAGAGCGACCATTCATCTGCCTTGCAGGTACAGAACCTTGTTAATTAGGGGAGTCGCCAAGTTTTCGATTACCCAGATATATTTCTTATAATTATCGTAACGAAATGTTATAGAAATATTGGCGAACCCACAAGAGCATGTAATGATGTGTCAATCGAAATGCGAAATGCTAAGGTAGATGTTTTGTAACGAGGTGAGACAGAGTTACAGATGAAAGGTGGATAATTCGAGGATTTTTAAAAGGCTCTTTTTTGGTGAAATTTACGAGAAATAACCCTTTTCGAACGTAACCATAGAAATAGATGTCATCGGAAGGAAGTGGGCAAAGTTAAACTGTTCACTCAATAGCTGTAACCGCCTCCCGGTTAGCTCAATGGAAAGAGCACTGGATTGTTGTGCGGGAGGTCGAGGGTTCGAGCCCCAGCCGGACCAACACTCATGGTCTTAAAATAATTGAGAAGAATTTGCTGCCTTTCTTTAACATCAAGAACTGGTTAGATATTCTAGTCTTCTCGGATAGGGACGAATAAATGGAGGTCTCGTCTCCTGCAGGGTTAGGGGTAGGAGACGTTAATTTCCCACACACGAGATTACTGTGGGGTGGGATGGGTGGGATATTGGGCGCACTTACCTGTATTTTGGAGCCTCGCTCTGTTGTGCGACCCTCACCACACTCTGGTGAAAGTGATTAAATAGATAAACTCTTTGTCGGTGTTAAACGTTTAACCCCCAAGAGTGATTAGTATATCTAATTCCTCCATACAGTATCACCCCTGAATCACACATTAAGGCCACGAGAAAAGAGGAAATGATCACCAGATAGAGAAGCTCTCAATTGTGAAATAGATTCTCCTTGTCAGCACCTCAGGAAATATATTGAGAACAGTATGGAGAATATACATACTGATGTTAATATGTAAAGAGTTATGATTAGGTTTGAGTGATTTACTTGAGAAACATAATAGTACTATTCTAGAAATCTTCCTTGATAAAAGTGTGGAAAAGTTTCTTTTTTGCTAGTTAAATTTTCAGTTCATCTTATTTTAAATTTCTTCAGAATGTCCGTCGCCAACTGGCCAACGAGAATGTGTCTGAGCTGGACATGATAAGGATGGTGTCCCTGTACGCGCTTCGTTACGAAAAACATAGCAGCAATGACGTGGGTGGCCTGTTGAACATGTTGTCAAGAAGAGGGGTTAGCGAGCCTCTAAAGAAGGTGCGTAGACTTAGAGCTGTATGGTTTCCTAACAGCTACAAGAGAACGGTTTCCAGATCTTCTAGATTTAAATTTTCGTTTGACGTAATTGAATTGTCTAAGCAAATTCGATCGTGACGTTCTTTGAGTAAGGAGGCGCTATCCGTCTTTTGTATGTGAGAGCGTGTAGTTTTTTAGATATTTTTAGAACGCAACTACAGTAAGTTTGGTGTTGTATTGTATTCAATTTGCAAAAAAATCTAAACCAAAATTGTAAGCGCACATCATCAAATTCCACTGCAACATAGCACATAAATAAATTTATAACAATATTGAACAAAGAGCTCTGTTTACAAATGGCCGCACACGAACCATTATGGTGGACCCCTTCGAGCAAGAATTTAAGTGAACATCTTTCTGGTTTAGCCCAACAAAATTTTAAGCGAATACCAGATTTAGTAGATCATCAGATCGCTCTCTAACCAATGCTTCTGTGATACAATACTGTAAGAAAAATGTGTTTCCTCGCCTCTATTCTTATCAACGCCTCTTAGCCTCTCTCCCAGAAAAAAAGGCCGTATTATTCTTGTAAAAAGAGCTGGTGAACGGATTAAGTAGCTTATGCTCTAGAAGCAGCTTCAAAGTTAACAGCATTCGGTAGAATCACGTGTACTCAGCTTTTTAGTTTATATCTTTATTGATGACTTTCTTTCATTTGCCTTTTCAACAATTTTGATATCCTTTTGACATGTTACATGGGACGCGTTTAACACTGTTTTGCCTTCCACAAGGATCGATTCACATTGTTCAGTTCAATTCCTAAAGCTTAGTAAATAATTTTTTTTAAATACAACCAGTAAAGTTTACATGTAATCTTCGTCAGCCGCGTGTTGACATGGTATTTTATCTGATCTTGAAGCGAACCACATACCACTTAGGCTTGAAAACAAACGGGTAAATTTCTAAGGTAAATTGATTTATTTTCTTCGAAGGAATCGAAAGAACAAGAAAAGGCGCCCAATACCCTCTTTTTTTTTTTTTGCTTTGTTTTCCTTTTTTTTTTTTTAATACACTGAAGCCTTCCATTTCAGAAGAATCTATCAAAGTTAATTATGCCGAATGACTTGCATAAAAATCCTTTTATAGTTTGTGACGTTGAATTAATCCTATAATTGTTGTGGTCTAAAACGTAAGACTCTGACCACATCATACAAGTTTTTTTCTTTTTCCGTCAAACCGCTCGGCATGACCTTCGTTCGATCGTTCTTGTCGTCCACCTTCATTTCACCATCATAACCCATAAATACCTAGACGATTTACTAATGAGTGTTTAATTTTTTATTCTATATATTTTTCTATCTCGAAACTTGATTCTCGAAATCACAACAAATCTTTTCATCCAATTACTCTCTACTACTATAAACTGAACTTGCTGCACGAGCTCTTGATGAGTAGCTGGTCAGTCTTACTGTATCCGAGGTCCTCAGTCCAGTTACCAAAGATTTTAAAGCGTCGCGGAAGTCCTGCTTCATGAAAGTGCAGAGGAGCGGATTGCACAACGCTGTCAAGAAGCGAAAGAAAATGATAGTTGAGACTATTGCGATAGCTGCTTTTGGAGACAAACTATCCTGCCCTATGGCGTGCAGGTCTTCCATTAGTGCCCAGAGAAAATAGAAAAACAATCCAACTATGAACACTGTCATCATGGCGATGAAGATCAATGCGACTTTTTTCTCGTTGACTTGTCGTCTGCCTTTGTTGACCTGAGATTCCGAGCGTTTGGTAAGTTCGCTGTGGATCTCGTTGCCTTGCCTTCGAAGGTGAGTGAAAAGCTTGGTGTAAATGGCGCTCGTCACAAGCAAGGGCACCACGACGAGGGCGGCCATGTGAAGGAAGTCGTATCCGAGGTCAAAACGATTCACTGTGTCTTCAGGTATCGTGGGCTGCAGAATCCAGGTAAGCTGTATCATTGAGGCCAGCAGCGCGAAGAACCAGACAGAAGCCAGCACAAAACGGAGTCTTTCTTCCGTTACGATGGACGGGTACTGCAGAATCTTGGTTACTCTTATGTAACGGTCGACAGATAAGAAGGTAAGGTGGCCCACGGACGAGAAAGCCAGAAAGCGGTTGGAGATATCCATAGGGAGACACACTTCGAAACTCATAACGGCTGAGCAGACAATAACCATTGGTACCGCTACCAAACCTGTCAGAAGGTCGCTTACTGCGAGACTGGTAAGAATCATGTTGGATGTGGTGCGGAGTCGTCGTTTGCGCCAGATGAGCAGCAGAATTAGGCTGTTTGCAAGGATGATGGAAAACGAGAGCAGTCCGTAGATGACAAACGCAACTGTTGGGTCGCTCATAAATATGACTTCCTTCTCATTGTCCTCGGTTGAGTTGCTGTCATTGGTGTGTTTCATGTCGTCGTCTTTCTTCTCTTCGCTTAAAAAGCTGTCTTCGCCTCGGCACAGGTGCCTTCTTCGGCAGAATTCTGTCTAGATTTGTTTGGCTTTTTTTTCTTGCTCTGAATCCTGTTTGCTATTCCACTTGATAAACACTTTCTTTACCTTCTAGACCTGGCTAGCAAAGTCCTTATACTTTCGTCATGCTTCGGTTTGCAAGTTGTCGGCTCCAGATCTCAATTGTAACCCGTTCAATTCGCTCCACTAAAAGTAAAATAAAAAAGATTATAGAAAAACTGATTATATAGAGTTCAATGAAGTTTTCAATTAAAAAACAAAAATTGCGGTATTGAAATGGAAAATTTGTGAAGAAGTTGACGTCTTATTAAGGTTCTTATTAATTTTGAGTCAATTCCTACCGACCGAGGAGAAAATGGAAAGGGTACTCACACAAATAGATTACTGAAAGTTAAGAGAAAAATAATAAAATCTCTCCTTTAAAAAAAAAGGTGCTCAGATCATCAGTAATCCTCCTTATCCCTACCATAAAGGTACTTCGTCGATATGTTCTCTTAATCGTGTTGTGAACAACCTACCAAACTGATTAGCTTTCGTAGAAACAGCAAACTCGTGAATTGAAATCTTGTTTTGCACCTCCAAAACGAGTTTTAAAGCTAATTACCGCAATTTGGGGTGGTGTTTCGCTACCAGTTTGCTTGCCGCCATTAGACTCTCCAAAGTTTTTTGTTACAAGTTATAGAGGTCAAAATTCCCGAATATAGTAATTTGCAAATTGAGGATTACCGGAAATTACTAGAAGAGTTGTTACCTTTATGCAAATTCCGTAATTCGCCCTTTTAAAAGAGTATGTGCCTATACGTAAGCTTCGGCTGAATTGATTTCACGAATGCGCTCTTTAAAATACTAGTACGCTTTAAGAATCAATTTACTGACTACTACGGGCAGTTTAGATTCCCAATTTCTTGATGCATTTTCAAATCTATAAACCACTAACGGTGTTTGCAAAATAGATGTCGTGAGTTGAAGACCTTTTTTTTTTTTTTTTACAATGTAAGCGGATATTTGCGTCCTGTAAGCTTTTAATGAAATGGGATGTTATTTGCTTTACAGGGAAATAGGGAATTAATTGCAAATGGATAAAGCATAATTGTGACACTCTGATAGGCGTAGCAGATGGAAAGAAATTGTCTCGATTTTCCCACCTGAAATCGTCCTTAATGCGAATAAAACGCTGGCTGGCTTTTACTGTCGTTAGCGTTGATCTGTTTCAGTCATTTTCTTTGTGTAAACAGATGGCGATTACATGTTTTTTTAGAGAGCTGTTTCTTCTTCGTACACAAAGAAAGTGCAATTTCTTCGTAGAAGCGAAGAATAGAGGTTAGAGTAAAACTAACACATTTTTTTGCCGAGCCAAAGGAAGCTAAGCGACTGTGACGTAAACCAATACAATTTCCTCAGCAAAAACCCGAATTAGGCTTAATTGTGTGGAAGCGATATTATTTGCATGTTAATTATGGACCATTTTCCAAGTTGCACGTGAAATCGTGAAGAGATTGTTATCGCGATATTGGCACCACCCCTTGCTGAAGTTATTTTTCATTCCTCGATGTGTGTGGGATTTAAACCCAAGAAAGACAAACCCTGAGACATTGAAAGCCCATCATCTATTTTACGGTAATCTTTCACAGAGTCCTTAGAAGTAAACAAAAGAAAAAGTTTTCAGTAAACGATGTGAAATTGCGGTCTGGAACCGATAGTGTTAATGTTGAAGTCGCACAAAGAGAAAACGCCGGAACTTGGACCAAATTGTCACTCATGCCGCAATACAGTGACTCAAGCGGGTAGACCGCGTACTTATCACCGTCTATATCCTGTTCTTTCCACAGACATTAATAAAAAAACTTAGCAGACATGTCCGGCTCACCTTCACATCTAGAAATGAGGCCAACTTTGTATCCAAATCAGAGAATCTCTTTATAGCTCTTACAAACCAGCGAAACAAGAGTGTTCTTCAAAGATCATTCATCTTGCCTCTAAGCTATTGACATGCGTTTGATATTATTGTCTTTGGTATAATTAGGTTGTTTCTCAAATGGTTCTAAGTGACAACAGTCCACGAATCAGGGAGATGGAAAGTCATAAAAATGTTTCCCGCAAAATGTACCCTATAAACGACATATTTCTTAAGGAAATTTGTAAAAAAATAAAAACGCGAATGATGCGCTTTTCATAAACTTACGTGCAACAAGAAAGGTTACGAAATACAATCAACGCGACATCTTACTTTCTTGATAACAAAAACTAGTTTATGAATGTTTAATGCAAAATAAAAGGAGGAAAGAAAAAAAACGCAAAATCACAATATATTTTATTTGCCCTGATAAAGTGCACAAGTGATAAACGATCAAATAAGCCTAAACGAATATATGTTTTAGCAAAAATGTTTTGTCTCGTATGCTTTAGGTGGTGACAGCTCTAATCCAGTATGGCGGCAGAAATGTCAGGGGTAGCGATCTCTTTGGACAAAACAAAACTCCGCTGTCATTGACGAGAAGATTCTTCAAGGGATTAAAGGTAACGCCTTCAGTGTTTTTGACGACAAACTAGCGCTATTCAAGTGTATTCATTTAAGTCAATGCTTTGTACTGTAATGAAAAGGTTTCGACGAAAGATCAAAGAAAAAGGACATTGTTGATTGGATTTTTGACGTGTTTCCGACAGCGGCTTTTCAATAACGAATAGTAGGAAAAGGAAAAAACAGAGATTTTCATTTTGTGACAAGTGCGATCACTGTTGAATTTTTGTCCCCTAGCCCCCGGGGATGAGGAGTTACTGAGGTGTATTTTCCTTCTCATGGGAAACGACACGGTCTCTTCGACAGTGCTCATTAAACTGAAACATATCACGTCGAAATGATAATTTTCGGTGGTTGTTAAACCCCCCCACCCTATTAGCCTCGCATTCAAAGGCTTCCTTATTATGTTTTGTTCCCAGGTTCCTTCTGTAGATCCCTCGGTGTTGGCATAGTGAGAATTGTTTTTGTTAGTTATTTTGATTATTTTCCCCTAATTACAAGAGCAAACGGTAACCCTATTGTATTTTCAGGGAGTGGAAAACATCTACACACAGCACACTCCTTTGTTGTCTGAGACACTGGACAACTTAGTCAAAGGAAAGCTAAAGGACACGCAGTTCCCATACATTGGTTCGTCAGTGCTGCGAGACAGGTAGGAACCACTCACAGACCCCGTGCCAAATTTTTGTTCTTATTTAAAATAGCCTCGAAATTAAACATTTCAACCCCCAAGAAAAATCCGAGTTCGTGTACAGGTATAATTTTAAGTCAGTGCAACGCCGTTTGCCTGAGAATTGATTCTTGGTAAATTTGGTCATTGAGAAGTTTATTTGTCTGGGTTTAAGCATACACAACACATCCAATCACTCTGAAGTGTGATGTCTAAAACCTTTTTTTGGTTGGTGAGTGACCACGGTGTTTATAACCTTCGAATTGATAAACACTAATTTAAAACGGGACAACAAAACAATAAGTCCTCGGTTTTTCTATTTAAAGCGTTTGTTTCAAAAGTTGAATCCTTTTCTCCAACATTATCGATGCTGAATCAGTCAGTAACAAATGAGATTAAAGGAACTTATCGCCAACTAAAGAAGCTCTTGACTGTTAAACAAACTCTCCTTTCCAGTACCGTAAAGACGGTTGGAATAGCATCCGATCACGAAATGTAGGCTGGATAGGATTTGATTCCTCGGGAGTTATCGCTAACAGTTTCTTCGTTCCATGCCAGTACTCCAACTAAGTTTTATTTTCCGTATTTCTTCTCCAACCGAGCTACGAATATGCGATCTTTCTTACTGAATAGATTTGGCTTTATTGTTATCTATTTCAAAGGCCTCAAGAAATTATCCTGTTTATGGTTGGTGGAGCAACTTACGAAGAGGCTTATGCCGTATATAACTTAAACAAGACATTGCCTGGGGTGAAAATTGTTCTTGGTGGAACCACAATTCATAACTGCAAAAGGTACCCTTACCCTCTCTTTCTATATGACACCGATAATTGACGCTGTCATTTCATCTTTTATATCTTAAGCTATGAATGATTCAATTGAAATTTTCTTTAAAGGCTTTTCTGGTAAATCCGTTCAGGACGATGAGTGCAAAAATAAAGGTGGCACTTAGTGCTATTTAGTGTTTACCTGCGACAAAAAGCACAAATTTAAGGAAAAGCCATCTCGACACTATCTCTATAAAATTCAAATGAATAAAGGCTGATAGTTTCGAAAGAAACTGTTTGGGGCTGCGTCGGTGGGAGTAACGAAATAATTTGGATATATCAACAAAGTTGAAATGGCTCTGAAATATACTTGGGAAAATTCTGACAATTCTTTATCCTTTTTAGACGGCAAAGTTTCAATTGAAGGTAACGGTTTATGCACTAGTGTGTATTACAAACCAACAGACTCGCATAATTACTTGTTATATTCGTCTTTGCACCCATCTCACGTTAAGAATTCCATTCCTTTTTCTCAGTTTCTAAGACTTCGTCGTTTATGTAGTGATGACTCTGATTTCCACCACAAATCAGAGTCAATGTGCCAGTTCTTCGATAAACGTGGTTANTCTTTAAAGGCTTTTCTGGTAAATCCGTTCAGGACGATGAGTGCAAAAATAAAGGTGGCACTTAGTGCTATTTAGTGTTTACCTGCGACAAAAAGCACAAATTTAAGGAAAAGCCATCTCGACACTATCTCTATAAAATTCAAATGAATAAAGGCTGATAGTTTCGAAAGAAACTGTTTGGGGCTGCGTCGGTGGGAGTAACGAAATAATTTGGATATATCAACAAAGTTGAAATGGTAAATTGGCCACCGTAACGATTACAAAAGCTGACGTTTCGAGCGTTAGCCCTTCGTCGCTCCGACGAAGGGCTAACGCTCGAAACGTCAGCTTTTGTAATCGTTACGGTGGCCAATTTACCATTTCAACTTTGTTGATATATCCAAATTATTCTCTAAAATTTATTCTGTTTTATCGATATTATTACTATTGTTGTTACTATTACAGTCATAATTTTCATTACTCTTATGATTAAGAATCACAAATGCCTTGCTATTATTATCATATAATATACTTATATAATAATCATGTAATGGCTGAATCTTAAATAGTACGATATTTCCGTACCTCGATAGCGCTGCACTCCACCTTTGCGTTCACGGTGTTGCCTATTATGATTTGATCTCCGAGTTGATCCAAACTATTTTTGTAGAATAAGAGTGTCGCGTCTGGTTTGTGACTGCGAGCAACGAAGATGAGAAAGTCAGACTTTGACGCATTTCTTTACCTTTTTCTTTTTTCGCCGGAGAGCGAAAATAAATACATGCGAAGTCGAAACAGCTGTGAATACATTCGCTTACGTCGATTAATATACATTATTATCCAACTGTGCTTCGTAGAGTTCAAATCACGCGCGAGACGAGTACAAATATCACGCGATATTTTTACTCCAGAAATATCTGCGAAATTCTCCCGCACAGAAATAACAATTTGGCGTGTTAGATGATAAATCTTTTATTAGACGTTTTGTTGTGTAGTATCGCTGAGTATTTTTACTCGTTGTTAGGCGAGTCAAAATACAGGCAACGAGTAAAAAGAATCAGCGATACTACACAACAAAACGTCTTATGAGATATATGTACTAGCTCACGCAAATTTACAGATCATGATACTTAAAGCGTCCAAGAGGCTTTCTAGCTTTATGTGATTTTTATTACATTTATGGTGGTTAGATCACAATGCAAAGGCAAACTTTAGACGATATTGTTATTATTATTTGTTTTATTTACCCATTTTATGGGTTTGTTAAGAATCCATGTTGAATCAGTTGTTTGAGATTTAGCTGGCCCTCTTCCTAAAGAGGAAGTCATTCGTGAAAAAAAAAAAATGTTCTTTATAACCAATTTTTTTTTGTATCCAAATTATGGATTTATCAGTTTTAAGGAAGGAGGTGATGAGCACTTTAGTCATCCTATCTTATAACTACACCTTTTTAACTTAACGAGGAAATTTGTGTTTAATTTTAGCCTTCCAAACTTAAAAAACAACAACTCTCATTTGATCTGAGCCATTCAGAAAGTGATATAAAAGTGTTAATGATGCTTAGCAAAAACTTATTCTTTATGTGTTTGTTCAAGCTTCTTATTGAAACACGGAATCAGCATGATTTTCGCATAAATGAACCACTTTTTATATTTGTGAGAAACTGCGCCATTTGGGAATTGGATAATTTCTGGAGAAATAGTAGTTCAGTTCTACGTTTGTTGCCGTTAGGCATTTCACAACCTTTCCACGCTCGCTTGTCAAACTAAGTTTTTGAAATAGTCAGTGTCTAAACGAACGAATAACCTTAAGTTACTCTCTTTTATGGCCTCTATCTGACTCAGCTGATAAAATTTAAGGATTCTTACCTCGAAAACATAAGAGCTGTGGTTAAAATCTATCTGTGATCTATAAAACCAAAGGAAGGTTGTAAATATTTAAGTTTCCTCTCGCGACATACTCATTGTACACATCGAACTCTTCTTGTTTGTGCATGTCTCACACCATTCCGGAAAATGATGACACAACTGTCATTTTGTTGTAGATTCTAAATTGTGTTTAAATCAACAGAATATGTAAGATCCCTCCAGTATCTTCCGTTCAATGGTTCTATAACGATTTTAACGGAAATTTTATATTGCATGGATACATTGAAGTAAGAAAGCATCATGGCATCATCTTGTAAATGAGGTTCGTGTGACGTTCAGCACCAAAAAAAAAGGGTAACAAAGAGGGTTCTAATCTCGTTTCGCGTACGAATTTTATAAAAATTCACGCATCATGTGTACGTTAACGGTTAAGAAAAACAACTTACAATTTCTCTTGTGTGCGAGGTTTCAGGAAAGTATAGACGTTTTCGCGTTAGGAAAGAAAAAATTCACGAGTCACGTATATTTTAGGAGGTAAATCACGCCACCCTAGTTCATAAGTTCGTGAATCACGCTCGCCATTCTGTAAACTTCACGCATCACGTAGAGACCCTTTGACACCTTCATTGTGAGGATGTTGTTTTAGTTATTTCTCGATTTAAGATTCATGCAAAGTTTTTAAAACGTGTGGATTGTCCTTTATCCTTGCTGATAAGTTTGATAATTATTTCGTGGTCACTGATTTCGTGCTTCTATTCAATATTGTAATAAAAATGTATCCGTTTGTGATAGGGGCAACCCCACTTGTCCAACAGCAAACAATATATTCGCTTTGCGGCGTTAGTAACTCTAGTGCCTCGAAGGAAGAGATAACGTTAAATTGATTTACACTTTTATCTGCACCTTGACCACGTTAATTGGATAATGCCATGACATTACAATATCCATACGTGCTAAGTTTGGATTACAAAGCAAAGAAGAAAGAGACGGAAAATTTTATGGTCACCCTGCCTTTTCTCTCAATCTACGTTAATTAGGAATAAGAAAAAAGGCAAAGAAAGGAAAGAAAAATGGAAAAAGGTTGTAGGAAGTTGTTTTTTTTTTTTGGCATATTTTTTCTTTTTCTGTCGTAAATAATTGCTTATTCATACTACAAAATATAGGCCTGCGTCAAAAGTATTGGGTTTATTTTAAATTGTTCAAATGTTGATCGAGAGGAATAGTCACTGACGTCATAAGAAAATCAATATTTTATTACTCGTTTATGTTTAGAAGCTGGCCCAGTTTAACGTGACAAAAGTAATTATTCAAAGCAAGCCATCTCCACTTTGGTCAGTTGTTGTTTATTCCGAACTAAGGAATGATTTCACCACAAATAAATTCGTCTACAGGTAGTGACGAAACTGCAGATGAGCAGATGAGCAACCAAACAGGATAGATTGAAATTTAGTGGCATTATTTGACAACTATTTTATCGTTATATATTTCGATGACAAATTCTTGGTTTCGTATTGATAGCCCTTTTCCGAATTACCTTTAGCCTCTTTTTCAAAGCGAGCTGTGGTGCTCATTCTTTCATATGATCACACGTCTTCATTTATACGTGGAAATTAAAGTCATTTTCGCAAGAATAGTTGAGCTCTGGGCCTCGTTTTGAAAAAGAGGCCAAGATTAATTCTGAAGTGGCAACTTATGCTGGCTTTTCTGGACTATATAATTCATCTTCCTGAAAACGTTACGAATACTTCGCTGTTTTGAGTTTCAAGTTTATCACTCATTCTCTTCTAATAGAATTAGAGCTTTGATGTCTTGGTTAAGACGTCTAACATTTGATTTTTAATTTTGATTTTTTTCACAGTTTCCTTGAAGAAGTAAGTCATTCCACTGGCCAAGGCTCTGCTACTAGAGCCCGGGCTTCCTCTGGTGGAGCACATTACAGATCTTCATTTTCCTCCTCGTTTTTCTGAAGTTGCCCGACAACGTATGAAATCTTGTTAAAGGGCGTTTAAATTTGGTCTCTAAAAATGTAACACATAACTCACAACAGCTATTCAGAAAAATTAGCTTTATTTCAATGAGCCAACGAGAAATCAAAGTAAAAACAAGCAAGCAGACTGAAGCGCGTGAAGAGGCATCTGCCCGACTCGCGATTGATTTAGTTCAGATCTTTTCTTGTTGAGAGATTGTCGCGAGTGTTCCAAATCTGACTTGGCACTAACACAAAGTAAGGCACTTTTTCTTTCATGTTTCTTTCAGCTTCAATTTCCGTACGTCTTGCCTCCCACATTCTATTTTTCCAGCTTTCTGAGTTCTTACTAAAAACGTAAAGAACAGTTCTTTATAAACGTGCGACCTGTGTTTGAGTGTATCTTCGTGGAGTGATAACAAAGTAGTACTTTACTAAAACCTGAAACCCGAAAAGAGTAACTAAAATTAAGGTAAACCTCATTTTGTATGTTAAACAGCTGGATTCTGTATTTCAAACAAGTTGCTTTTTAGTTAGAAGTCGATTCGAAAATATGGTGCGTGACCACGAGAAGCAAAACAGAGACGTACTGCTGGGTGAAGTAAATTTAATACCAAAAGGAAGTGCAATGATGGCAGATAAGCCGATACTTCAGAAAAAAATATAACTTAGAATTATATATGATTTTTTTTAAAAGCAGAAAATAGGACAGTTTCATTTTGAGAAGATAGATGAGAGGGGAATAATTCCGAGTTATTTAATCTAACAGCCTTCGGTATCTTTTGTTCAAATTTGAACTGCTACATTTGACCATGTATAAGGTTTAGAGGTATTTCATTTACACCAAAGCTTCAGAGCATCGTCTATGAGGAGATTTGATACGTGATTAAGAAAAGTTTAATCAAATTCATAAATAAATATCTCACTGACACCATGAAATGAGGATCCGTTTACGAAAGTGACAGCAAACTTCCAGTAATTTTTTTTCCGAACGTGAGGAGATATCAATGGTAGTCATGTCACTCCTCAATTTCATTCACATCCCCTTCGACGAAATACAGTTGCTTTCTCTATCGGAGGGGCTGAAAAAAAAAAACCTGGCCATTTCTCAGTCTTACTCAATTCCATTGTGCCCTTGGCTACTTCAAATAGACCAAATAAAGCATATACAGTCAGACGATTTGCGTTAAAACGGAAAAAAGCAAACTACCTTCCTGACTAGCGGCCATTTTTAATTAGAGTGACCAATCGGTAAAGAGATAAACAGAATGAAAACATCCTTTACAAGGACCCCAATTATCTTTTCCGATTGCATTTCGAAAATTGTTATTTTTATATGAAAACTCTCTAACAATCCTGATTTTTTTGTTTCTGATATTACTGTTGTTTTCTTTAAAATAATAAAGTAGTAGATGTTTTTATTAGATTAGAAGGGAAGAAAGAATCGTGATAGCCCTAAGCGCCATAAACACGCGTGTAGGGAAAAGTCACGTCAGAATGTATGAATTAGGAACTTAAGTAAACCAATAGCTACACCCCCACTTGCGTGCGTGTTAAAAAAATTAAATTTCTTAGCCGTCTTCTGCAAAACAAACGACAACAAGAAATTACCCCAAAGGCAAGTTATTTAGGTTTCCATTCGAAACTCAAGGCAGCTAACATAAGTTACGCTGAATTTGAGGTGTGGTGTGGTAAGAGACGATACACCCATCCAACCTTATGAAACTATATAAAATAGAAATTCGTTTTTCAATCGGGGTTTTTCTTCTTAACTGCTCAACGTCCTAGTCATCAAAAACAATCCCATAAACTCAATTAGTCATCAGATGTGCTTCCTCTCATAACTATACCCTTTAGTTTTAAAATGCAGCGATTTGCAATCCCTAATTCCTCTCTCAACCAATTCGACGAAACGAAACAATTTCTGGCTTCCGCAGTATTTCTTAATTTCATATAGCTGCATTAAAGCTAAAAGTAAAACAAGCCTTTGGGTTGTGAGAAAGAAACAAAAGAAGACTCGCTTTCCAGCTGAAAACTTACGAATTTGAAGCATAAAGTGCAAAACGTTTGAAAAGGGAAAAAAAAATTACATTCTAATGGTGACATACAGCGAAAAGCTGCTTTTAAGAATCTGGGCAGTGCACTATGACTGTGCACACGAAACTGTGAGCTTCTAGCTCGAAACATTCGTCGCTTCGCTTTGATTCCGCGAGTCAAGTTACAACCTAGCGTTTAGGTAGTATTAAATGTTTAATTTATACAATCAGTTCTTAAATAAACAGCTCCCGCACAGAGTCGACTCTTCTCTGGCTTTTGTACGAATGACACTCACGAACAGTCCTTTAAAAACTTTTTTGGTGATGATGGTTTAACAATGATTTAATTGAATATGTCATTTTATCGTTATTCGATGCTATTCGTCATTCGGTTAAGGAGCTACGATAGTTTCTCGTATTTTTTTCATGGAATAATTTTCAATTAAATGTCGAAAGAATCAGAATTGTTTAGTGATTGATCTGATAAACTGGAACTGTATAAGCGAGAGGCTGTCGCATATTTTAAAGAATACAACTGAATCAACAAATAAAAAAGGAGGAAAGAAAAAGGACAAAGAAGGCATGCTAAAGTAAAGCCGATCTCCCATAATGGCTACATAACCTTACCTTGGACAGAAGAAAGCAAGTTTCTTCAGGGACAAATTCAGCTGTAAGCGTTGGCTTGAAGAGTGACCGCTTTGGCGCCTTTGATCGGTATTAAAAACAAACTAGCCTGAAAGGTGCAAACTAAAATACTTATGCCCGTCGCTTGGGGCTTTTAACTCGGAATTAATGCAGAATGATTCTGGTACATGTAAAGGAAAAAACAGATATTTTTATACACCTGACTTTAAAACATGTTGAATGTCAATTCTACAAACGATCTTCGACAAGTAATAGGAGGAAGTTTGAACACTCGCTTTCTAAAATATTTAAAAGTTTTAAAAATAAATGTAAAAAGTTAAAATCATTATTTTAGTTGTCAGCCAAATATATTTCAAAAGCATTGGCGATCTTTGAAAAAGTGCCCTTTGGCACGAAAAATAATCTTGATGTGATAAAAATGCCAAAAGATTTTTGCCCTAACGTCCTTTGTAATATCACAGTTTTCCTGGAGTGGTCTCGAATATAATTGAATTGGCACAACCGACTGCTGCTGTTTAACGAGCAGAAATTTTATAACCAAAAATCGTTGCTGTCTTGCTGAAAAGCTATTGGTTGATCTGTGAGCTAGATGAACTAATTCAAATGTTGACGAGACTAGTTGGCGCCACGACGCTATTCGATCAATTTTACAGATACTTCTTTGTTTGAGAATTATATACTAGAGCGCTGCACTAGCATCGCAGAGGTCAGTGGTTCGAATCCCGTACAGGCCTGATTTTTTTCAGGTCTGATTTTCGCTATTGTTTAAATAGCGCTATCTACTGCGAGGATCGTGCATCATATGTACTTCTTTGTTTCTTTTCGTTTTGCTGCCAGGAAGTGAAGCTAACTATGGTTAATTTCGCTACCAAAGATGTTTTGAAGATATATTAATTATAACAATATCCCGTCCTTTAATGTCAAGATCATCTGATCCTAAAAATCATTTAAAAAGTAAACATGCCCAGAGGAAGAGATAAAATTTAATGTTTTGCGTCGGAAGGAAGTGATCTCCCTCCCACGTGTGGCTGAAATTACAACTACAGTTATCATTTAAGTCCACTTAATTATTTCACAACGCTTACTAAGAGAAAACTTTAAAATTCTTGGGGATTTGTGCCATACTGTAAGCAAATGAACAGTTTTGAGAACGTGTTTCCAGGTCGTTATCCATTTGTTCCGGCTGACAAGCTCGAACAGTGAAGAGGCTTTTTTGTGGAGGTTTAGACGCATGACTTAAATAAAGATAGTAAATTAAAAAAAAAAAGTTATCTTTGACATTGCCACTAAAGTCTAAAGTCTGCCTGTCCAGACTAAATTAAGCAAAACAGAAAGCCATCACGAGAGCTTGGTGCAAAAAAAAGAAAAAAAACGCGTCCTCGGTTGCCGGAGGGCATGGGTGGCCGAGTCGTGATTTTAGTAACTTTAATTTCTGATTGAACAGGAGAATAATTATCACGACTGGCCAAGCGCAGAGCGAAGCTAAACTAAATTAATTGATTGATTCCTTTCACAGATTACCCTCAACTCTGTAAAGTGAAATGCTAATGAACCATTGCAATTGTTTTTTTTTTGCACAAGAAAAGTCAGATTACTAGTGTCGGATCGATCTGGTTTCTTCTAGTACTGGGGTGAATATATTGTTATTTACAATGGGGCCTTCATAAAAAACGTTGACTTTGCTTAGCGTCTTCAGCGTGTCACTTTTCATCGTCCCTGGGTGATGTCGGATTTGTGCTCTCCCGATACTGTTTCATCATTTCTGTAGAAAGTTATAAAAAGGGTTAGTTCGTAAGCGCCCAATGGCCCATAAGTTTTCTTATTTTTGCAGCGTGATAATTCCCTCATCCAAGTTTGCTTTACCTTCAACTTCCTCTCTGCTCTTGATTTCCCCAGGTACATAATACTTCTTTCTAAGGTTCTGCAACGAATTCATTCCATTGCATTTTTATTTCAAGCCAAGATTCGAAAAAGCGCCGGCATAGTTTACCAAAATAAAGGTAAATGCACTTGTCTATGTACTAACCCAGTATTTAAAGCGGCTCTGCCACTCAATAGTCGCCACGGACTGCATTCGTAGCACAGAGAAAGAGAGAAGTGACTCTTCTTGGACCATCTCGTACGTCAACGAGAGCTGAGCGATCAGCACGTTGAGAAGAATGATGACAACACTCAACATGAAAAATATTGCCAGTATCGCTCCCAGCCAACTAGTTAACAAAAGAGAAGTAATTGTATTAGATATCAAGTGAGTTAGTAAAAAAAAAGTTGAACAGAAGGACGACGGAGGACAAAGGGAGGGGCAGGGGTAAATGTTGGTTGACTGTAGATGGTACCATAGGGGTGGGGTAGGGGTAAATGTGGGTTGACTGTGGATGGTACCATCGGGGTGGGGTAGGGGTAAATGTGGATTGACTGTGGATGATACCATTGGGGTGGAGTGACCAANTCTCTGGTAGAGGAGGTAGCGCCGATACAGTCGTCGATGTAGCGACCGTAGAGTTCAGGTTTGGACCCGTTGTATTGGCTGAAAAATTGATGTTCGACAAAACTTACAAAAAGATTGGCATAGCTAGGTCCCATTTTGGTACCCGTGGCTACACCATTGGTTTGTTTGAAGAAGTTGTTTCCGAATGAAAAACAATTGAGTGTGAGCACTAGTTTGGCCAAGCGGAGTAGTGTTTCAGATTAGGTTCTTTATCAGTACGTTGATCAAAAAAATGTTTAAGCGCCAGAAGGCCTTCGCCGTTAGGAATGACAGTGTAAAGAGACGTAATATCCATGGTGAAAAGAAGTTTGTTTTGGCCAAGGAAATTAAAGTCTCGAAAAATTTGAAGAGCGTGTTGGCTGTCTTTGATATACGATGGTAAAGTTTTGACGATGGGAGCCATCATTTTGTAAATGTGGGTTGACTGTGGATGGTACCATCGGGGTGGGGTAGGGGTAAATGTGGATTGACTGTGGATGATACCATTGGGGTGGGGTAGGGGTAAATGTGGGTTGACTGTGGATGATACCATCGGGGTGGGGTAGGGGTAAATGTGGGTTGACTGTGGATGGTACCATCGGGGTGGGGTAGGGGTAAATGTGGGTTGACTGTGGATGATGCCATCGGGGTGGGGTAGGGGTAAATGTGGGTTGACTGTGGATGATACCATCGGGGTATGCGAAGTTTTTATTTTTTTCCATGAAACGTTTCCTTTTTGTATATGGAAAAAGATGGGGAATAGTTTTACTGCACTGCCACTGGCTCAGCCTTCCTTGAAATAGGTCACACTGCACTGCCAAAACCGACGGCTTTCAAGAAATTCCAAAACGGCAGTAATACAACCATTGCCTTTTTGTAAGTAATTTTTGTCTCCTAAAGCATTTATTGATTTTAGTCTCTTGCTGATAAGTTCCTAGCACTAAGGAAACTTTACTTAAAGTCAATGACATTAAAGGATGGGAAAGAGAAAAAGATACTGACTTTGTTAAAGACATGTATAAAATAAAGCGAATTTTAAATAGACAGTTGGACTGTCACAAGAATAATTTTAAAGCACTAGAACACATTTTTCCTGGCTCTGTTACGAGCCAAAGGCGATTGGCTTATGTGCTTTCTGAGTTACACGTGGGCTCTATAACCTAATCTGATGAAGCATCCGAATTGACCAATCAGGCAATGCGTGTTACGTTCATTATATCTCATTAGCAACCCAGAAAAACACTGCAACATTTTAACATTTTTTTTACATCTAAACGGTCACAAAGTATCGAGAAAATCAGAATTTTTCACCATGTCCCAGAAGCAAAACTTAGAAGACTTTCAAATATAAATAGTACTGAAATAAATGTCTCTAAAGTTGAAGTCGCTAAACTCACCCAGCAGTTGACAAGCTACGAACAACGGAGGACCCCTCTAGCCATGTTTTTAAACCAGCTAACATCACACATCCTACGTCTTCTTTACACAGTGAATATTCGCTGCCCAGTGCACTTAATTTAAAGAGAAGGAAATGTAAATTAACCCGATGCTTACTCAAGGACGTACAGCTAAGGACAGTTCTTGTGTTACCCATGAACTTCTCATTGGGAGATGATTTAAATTCGAATTCAGCAACACACAAATCACATGATTTAGGAGGCCAAAACTCGCAAGCTGAAGAATCTACACGACATGTAAATAAATAGAGAAGTCTTGACTGCGCTCTGTTTCGTCTATTTTGTTGGAAAGCATGCAGGAAGCGGCCACAAAAGAAGTGTAGCTTAGGGAAAGACAAAACTTAGTCGAGTGTTTGTTAAGGCACGTCTGAGTAGAATTACAAACAAGAGAGAAGTTCGGGAATTTGTCGTCAATTGTACAAATGGGTCCATGTCGTGACACCACTACTTTGTGTCATCTAATCAGAACACACTTTATTATTACAACTTTATTATAAAGGAAAACACAGCTTGGATGTCAAAAAGGTAAAGGTCGTTAAATATTATTTTAGGTGTGACACACTGTGATTTCCTTCTCCCTTTCGAAATATCTCTCTGATATTCAGTAGGTGGCCTAGAATATAAGCTGAGAAATCTACATTACAACCCAGGCAGACCTGAAAACATTGGATGAGATCAAGCTCTTGGTGGATGTTCACCGCTATGTGTGATTTCTCATTTATTAATATTCGTTTCAATATTATTTTGTAGAAAAAAAATCTCAGACTCTACTTGCCTTCCGAGATTAAAGTCGCCAGCCTTAAGTGCTGTGAAAAATGAGATTGAAAACGCAACCAGGATGATGGTGAACACGACGAGAAACCTTGGAATATCTTTGTAGATGACCATGCCGAGACATTTTATATAAAGACCAATGTACCTTTAAATGCAACAAAAAAATGAGTGGAGTCATAGGTCGAAATCGAACAATCTATTTAAACATTTTTAAGGGATGCTGCTTTATAGTCAAAAGTTGTTTACAGAAAAAGAAAGTGATTAGCTTTAGGCGGGGTATCCCTGCGTGAAGCCCTTGGCTTCTCCATCCCCGTCTTCCAAGCTCTACAGGGGATATCAATGGGGCTAATCGTTAACCGTGAAACGGTGAAAAAGCCATGGCCATTTGGCGTAAAAATTGACAAAAATTAAGCGTCAAAAAATTAAGCGTCAACTGTAAGCAGTCTTCTTTTAACTTTAGCAGAGGAAAATTAGCCATTGGTCGTAAAATGGCTAAAATTGTAAGCCGTAAAAGTCATCATCCAATTCAAAAACTATAAAATTACCTGTCCCCAACTGAGTATTTAAATATTCCACAAAAGTTGATAATTATTGCCAAAGAACCTAAGATCCATTGCGCATCACTTCCGAGATATCGGAAAACAAACGTCGCCGCGATTAAGAAGTATCCAGACAGATCCAGGTAGTTGAAGACGTCTTTGGCGTAGGCCAGTGGTTCTCTAGAGATATAAGGGAGAGGGAGAAAGATAACATTTTTGGTTTCACCTACGACACTACACAAACCATGGATTTAATTTTAGAGGGGAGGTGTAAGACCCCTTTGTTACTCCATTCTACATGAGGTCAGATACGCAGAACCCATATTGATAACAGTTTTTGTAGCTGAAATGGTCATCCTGTACAAATGTTTTATTATTATTATTATTATTATTATTATTATTATTATTAGATACTAGTTATCGTACCGCTTGAGCTCGGATATTTCATCAGCTATGAACCATAATGTCATCAAAGTTACTAAGATCTCCGTCGTTCTTCTGCCAGGAGAACTCTTATAATCCAGTGGGTCGTCTGACGTTGCAGCACTCATGAAGGACGCAGAAAGAACCGCCAGGAAAACCACATAATTGAAAAATCTAACCCTGTAATCAACAGAAAGCATTTTGAAGGGTTATGAAAAATACACGAAATTCAGTTCCAATCATGCATACACTATGTGCTTGTGTCTTTCACGAATAGTTAACTCAAAAACTATACATCAGAACAAATATATATCTAAAAGCCTTCAGATATAATTTTAGTTATAGTCTAAGAATCGTTCTTGTATAATTTAATTCCACTAACCACTAAGTTGTCCCGGCTCTGAAAGCCTCCGAACCGCCAATCCTTATTGTCTTATCAAGTATGCAATTGTTTTAGCGGCTTTAAACACCAAAAATACTGATAACAACAACCACTACAGGCTTTTAAATAGGTGAAAGTTATTCTGAAGCGTTACTTACTCTAAATGCACGGTTTTACTATTTGGGCAACGTTATGCAAGTACAACTTAAGCGAGCACTTCCAAATTCCAAAGGTGAAGGTGGGTTAGGAGGGAAGCTTTTTTCAAGGGAGGGTGGGTGAGGGGAGGGAGTAACCCCTTACTGCACACAAACTGATAATTGTATAATTGAGACCAAGCGAATTTTAACCAATCTTTGATTACACAATCAAAAAAAATTCTTAACATCTGAGGTACTAGACCTGAACCAAAACGCGGCATACTTTTCCCACTTTCGTTTCGTCAGCAACTTAATCACAACGTGATTTAAAATTTCCTGCAAGAAAATGAAGGAATGTTCATTAATTTGAAATAGGGGGGAAGGCAAGCTTCTCTCCCAGAGATTTGTTTACTAGCATGATTTTAGCTGGCTTTGTAAAACCACCCTGTCCTCTGGCCCGAATGTCAGACAACTGGCCCCCCGGACAATTAGCCCCAGACAACGCGCCCCCGATCTTCAGACAACTGGCCCCCGATACGAAAACACTTATGTTACGTTGGACAAATATACAGTTTAACCGCATTCCGGTTAGCTCAATTGGTTAGAGCGCCGGATTGTGTTGTGCGGGAGGTCGAGGGTTCGAGCCCCGGCCGGACCGATGCTCGTGGTCTTAAAATAAGTGAGGAGAATTTGTTACCTTTCTATAATCAAAAAATGGATAGATATTCTAGTCTTATCGGATAAGGACAAATAAACCGTTGGCCCCGTCTCCTGAAGAGTTAGGGGTAGGAGACGTTAATTTTCCACGCACGAGATTACTGTGTAGTGGATGTCCTCCCCTGGGGTGGGATGGGTGGGAATTGGCCCTGAAAAGCCCTCATGGGGAGTGGTCAACTAACGCATGTATGTATGTAATTTTATGCTCATAAAGTAATAATTTCTTGAAAGAAGAGAAAAGTTTGTTTTTTAAAGTACATTACGAGACCGAGACTTACATTTGTAGCGATTGATTGTAACGATCGCGTAAACAGCAGCTTCAAATTTTATGGCTAGATTACAAAATAATTTTTAGTGTAATAGAAAAAAATCCGAGCCCCAGATGGGACAAAATGGTCACTTAATTCATGTGTTTACGCAATCGTTACAATCGATCGCTACAAACGGTAGTCTCGGTCTTTTAATGTACTTTTTTCTTCGTTCAAGAAATTATTACTTTATTTCCATGAAAATATAGTTTTCCAACGCAACATAACTGTTTTCATATTGGGGGCCAGTTGTCTGAAGATCGGGGGCTAGTTGTCTGAAGATTGAGGGCGAGTTGTCTGGGGCTACTTGTCTAGGGGACGAGTTGTCCGGAAACCCCCTAGCCCAAACATTCGAATCGTCAGCTGCTAAGCTCGTTTTTCTGTGACTTTATTACCATAAACTTTATAAGTATTTTTAAGGTCCAAATTAAAGAACACAAGCTCGTGCTTTAAAATATTGTGGTAGATTAAGAGCATGGTTTGTTTTAGATTTTCATGTACACTAATAACAGGCGTATGAAAAAATATGAAAATTTACCTTATTTAGATTTTGTTGGAAGTGCTTCGTCAAGTTGTAGTAAAAAGACTTTGGTGTATACTCGTAATCTGGATCATCCGGGAATCTTCCATTGACGTCACTTTCCAAGATATCATAAGTCACGTGAAAGTGAGTTGGCTTGTCCTGTAGATGTTCCCAAGACAGACACGGCACAATATCTGATGGTAAACAAGGTGGGTGTGGCCATCGGGGAGAAACAAGACAATCCAACAAGGCTACGATTGTTTTCTAAAGGAATTGAGACAGAACTGCATTAAGGCACTAGGGATGGTTTCTGGGGGTACATCAGAGGCCTTTTTCATGACTTTTTGTGTTATAATAACAACACCAGCTCGTGTAGGATCTCCGAGACAGTTAAACCTCCCTCTTTGCCCTCTCCGCCTCACGTCTCCTCCCCTCCCTTGCGGCCTTCCAATCCCCTTTCCACCATAAAAACACTCTCCCCATTCTCCTCTCATCGTAATTGATCGGATGTAAAATGTGTATTGAAGTAAAGTTCCTTTCAAGTTTTGAATTATTTTAAAAGTTTAAAATTAATTATTGGCATTGATCAGCACTTGCTAGTTTCACTTTTTCGAACAAGTTGAGCTTGTTCTCTCGGGTTCAAAGATCGGATGTAAAGTGCCCATATAATTTTATACGTTGATGTTAAGTTTGTACGCGGTAACAAAAGTTTTAATTTCCAGGCAAAAAAGACGCTCTTTCTCTATATATTTATATCAGGATGTATTTTCTTTGTAGAGGGGTTACTGTTTTGGCCATCAATAGTAATAGTAATAGTAATCAAAGTTTAATGTCTTAACGTGGGGCATGGTTACCCATATTGCCCGAGCCAGAGGTTCATGTATGAAACGCAAGACAACAACCCACCCATCCCATCCCATCCCACCCCAGGGGAGGGCATTCATCACACAGTAATCTATTTCGTGCGTGGGAAATTAACGTCTCCTACCCCTAACCCTGCAGGAGACGGGACCTCCATTTATTCGTCCCTATCCGAGAAGACTAGAATATCTAAACCATTTCTTGATGTTATAGAAAGGTAGCATATTCTTCTCAATTATTTTAAGACCTTGAGTGTTGGTCCGGCCGGGGCTCGAACCCTCACAGTCCAGCGCTCTATCCATTGAGCTAACCGGGAGGCGGTTTTAAGTAGCTGTTGTCTCCAATTCGGACCGAGCTTCTGCATAACAATAATTAATAATTAAGAATTACTGAATTACCTGCATCCCGAACTCCTCGGTTAATTTCACCAAACTTATCGCAGCGTTTCTTTCCTTCTTGGCTTTGAACAAGTTTCTGACTCTGAAAAAAAAAATTATTGATTGAACAAACGAGCTGTACCATGTATTACTAAGGGTTACAGCTAATATCGTTCAGGAAAAGGTCATGCCGAATTGTGTTTAAATAGATTTACCATTGACACCAGTTCAAAAATCATTGGGTTTACTGGATATCCTTTTGCTTTTCTAACATCGAAAGAGATGATGTTCAAAGAAAAGTTGACAGCAGTTTTATACGAAACAACGACAACAATAACTCGCAAACCTCCTGTGATCCATTCTCCTTATAAGGAACGCTGCCACGTCGTCTTGACTGTGTCTTATTGCTGTTTCAACCGGCATCTCGCCCTGACCATTTATGGCCATGAGCATGCAGGGATAGCTGTCGATCAAAAGCTTGGAGAGGGAGATGAAATTCTTCGTAGCGGCTATGTGTAATGGTGTATTGTGAAGGAAATCTACCACATCTTTTAAATTCACCCCAGAGCTGCTCAGAAGCCTGAGAAATCTGCAAACCTATGTCGAAATTGAACAAATAACGAAGCTGAATGAGACGTTTCCATGCACCATCCTGAAATTGACAATCTTAGAACCTAACTGACTAGTTTATAAGGGAATTCAGAGTGGATTGAAAGGGAAATTGCTGAATAGATCTTGCGAGTTCAAGGATAAACTCACTCACAATTTTGTTTTCCTCTGCATTTTTTTTGTGCCTGTTAATGTTAATTAGTCAACAAGAAATTTTCCGTTTCCTCTCTTCTCACTTCTCATTAACGCGTGACTTGATTTGACTTTATCACTTCTAATCGCAGAAACGACGGAGAGGAAAAATAGGGAAATTAAGCTGCTTTCAAGAATACGATTCGAGTCAAGAAGGAGATTAAATTTTTCTCTTGCTTAAAAGCTTCAAGCTTTTAACTGACAGGTAAGTCTTCCTTGGCGTCGCCGTCGTGGTTTCTTAAGGTCCCTATTCTTACTGCACCTGAGGCTCATAATTCCAATCCTGTAATAGATAGAGTGCTGTGTTTTCTTTAGTGTCGCACACATCTATAAGTCTCTGAAGGCGAACTAAGTCCATTGCCTGACTTCTATCAACACCTTTTTCCCTCATTTCTTTTTTGACCTGCGAAAAGTAATTTTTTTTTTTTGTTATTTGAATAAAATCCCAGTAAACCTGTTTTAATTTTTTTATTGAGATGCGATTAATGCTGAGGTCAAGACCCAGTTTATTGCGGATTTCTGTTTATACTTTAACCTTTGCTGCCTGTCGCCTCATCCTGGAGACGAGGACTTCGTGAAGTCAGCCAATGTCGGTCAATGTAATGTCACTAATTTTCATTGAAATGCACATTTGCAAAGTTTGACATTTTTTGTCAAAGAAAGAGCTTTTTAATAGGAGAACCACTTCAATTAGAAACTTTACGACTACAGGGGTAATTAGAACTTGTAAGGGAACAAAAGAGGTGTTCTAAAATCGTTATGTTTTCCGGTACGGTGAAATTGAAAACAAGGACATTTGCATAAATAATTAAACCTCCTCTGGAAACAAACCGTGCTCTATAAAAAGGTACATCAAAGTCATTGTTAGCAAATTGTAAATGTATTTTCTCATCCTTAGGCAATTACAACTACTTCTTTATTAAAAGTAAATACAATATATAACCTAATTTCTTTCTTTACCCAGACAAAGGCTCTGTACCAGCATCACGGAGCAACGATGTCAGTGAAATGCATTTCTATTTCTATTAAAGTCTGATAATATGAACTTACTGAAATTAAAAGCCCTAAGGTGTGCTCGCTCCCCCAATTCACTTAAATTTTGTTTACGTAGAGAGCTCATTTTTTCCGAAGACTCCATTATTTTAATCTACAAATTTACATCTGAATTGAAGATGATTTAAGACGATTCACTCTCATTTTTTGGGAATGAGAAGTAAGTTTTAAGTAGATTTTAACTTATACTTTTCCCGGAGGAAAATTAAGATAAAAAAGTAGCTTAACCCATCTGGTTTCAAAGTCAAGGTTTTGCAACTGGGTACTCATTCAGCAATAAATTGGCTCTTTAGTGAAAGTAAAGGAGATTACGTAACCGAAACTTTTTCGAGGAAAATTCATTAGTTAATGTGCGAAACGCAAAATGGATTGTGTCCCTTTCTTAATGGTATTCTGGCATGGGTAAATTTTGGAGAACGTAAAATGGTTGTTCTACAAACCATCTCGTGAAATTCCTCGCTTGATTGCTGTATTGCTTCCACGCGGTCTTGAAGGGTGAAGGAGCTGGCTATCGAACAACTGTCGTCCAGCTGACTCGCGCTTCTCTGAAGAATCAAGTCTTCTGCCGAGATTCGATGAATCATTTTGCCACTGCAGGTCGCTCGCAATCAGGTTCTGAGCATTCCCCTAAGGCGCGCAAATTTACGTTTATTCCGCGACAGATCTCGAGGGTTCTGGCGTCGTAATATAATGTACACAGAACTACTGAATTTGAATTAGAGTTTTAATTATTACCTCTTGAACAGCAGGTGCCTATCGTTAATCTTATATTTGACTCATAAATCAGGCATGTAGTCATGTGACGTCTAGATCCTTCATTTGATTCATTAGTTGCACTAAACACTATCGCGTCCGTGCCAAACAAAACTGAACACAATAGGTGTTCTCCTCTTGAATTATTCACCGAATTGGAGGTGAAAAGTGCTTCTTAATCACGAGCGAATTGACCAATCAGCTGGGGAAACAGCATCATTAACCTGTGCGATATTTACTGAAGGTTATTCTAAGATGTCTTAATTTAGTCAAATTACGCTTCTCAAATTTTTATTTCTGTCTACACGGCATACAAATAACCGATTTACCTCTTATCAACAATTTCCCCTAATTTCAGGTGATCATGGAGATGTGATCACCCCCATTGGTCACGAGTTGGATCACATCCAAACATATCCATGCGAGGTGATTGTAATTATTATCAGGTTAAGAAGTTGATTCTGAAACGTCTCGTCCAGATCAACCATTTGACTATTCAAAAGCGATCTGCCCACCTCGTATAAATTACAATGTTTTGCCTAATCTTGTCTGTTATCTATTTCTGAGCACTGATCTAACACATTTTAATCCAATGTTTCTATTTTACCGTATCCAATACCAGTTATTTGTGGGCCTCTAATTTACAGATTTTGCTTCAACAAAGCTAGTTGGTAGCAAACAGCAAAAGATCTCGTCAACTTCATTTATCTAGTTGATCATACAGGCTTCGCCAGGTGGTGCGAGAGAAACAATGACTGAACTAATTTTAGGCTAGGTGCATACAGTATAATCACTTCTCAAATAGGGTTTCAACAGCAAAAACATATGCAGAGAGATATGCACGGTATGTTATTTTGTAACGGTTTACTTTTGAAAATGTATGTTGACTGGCATACGAAACGTCAAGTTCTATATAAAATACATTGGAATACAATGTTTATCACCGCTGTTTGCCTTATTTTCTAAATCATGCGTGTTTAAGTTTGAGTCTCACGATTTAAAGATGAATATGGTTAAACAAGTCTATAAGGCCTCGTGATCACATGAAGATGTCCTAACGACAAAAAAAATTGGGTCTTTATTACCTAAGTTTACTAGCCAATCCAGTACCGTACATCCTTAGAACCAGTTCTACTTCAAGCGAAGAAACATTCGCAGACTCCCCGTTTGGTACGTTCACCGGGGAAACTAGAAGATGTTGAAGGAAAAAACTAAAAACGTTGGTTGTTGCAAATTAGGAGCACCTCCAAATAAAGGATTGCGCGGGGGGCGTAAGCGAAGAGTTCAGGAAAAGGAAAGTTACCAGAATCACTTGAGTCAACCAAAAAAAAAGAAAAATAAGGCAACTATATTTAACAAATGGCAAACACCACAGCGTACACTATTGAGTTATGGATGCACGCGGGAGGTTTCTAAGCACGAAAGAAGCGTAAGAGTCGCTCGAGGCGATAGCCGAGAGCGACTCTAGCTTCTTGAGTGCTTAGCAAACCTCCCGCGTGCATCCATAACTCGATAGTGTACGGGTGTGGTGTTTACCATTTGTTTTATAACATAACATTGATACATTGTAGCTAAAGAGTTCCCTTTTATTAAACAAATCTTACGTGACCAGAAAAAACAAGCGCGCGCGGAAAAATAGTCTTTGCGTTTGCTCACGTCAGCAGCGTACACCCATGGGCAAATGGGGGACGCTAAATTGACCAATCAGAGCGCGCGCTTCACTTTGGTTATGTTATAATCATGGATGAAAGACCATTAGTTGCAATATTTAAAGAACTTCTCCCTCGATCACTCGAATCAAATCGAGTTCTACCGATGCAAAGGGCAACAATTAGGATCAAATGACATCAGGGTAAAACTAAATTCACACAGCTTTGTTAAATCCTCGGGTCACCTCCAACTGGATAACTTCATCCTTTCTTTTTCTGAATGACAGACTCTAATTCACACCTATAAAACAGAGAGAAAATATCACTTAATTTAGCACAAAATTCAACAAACGTATACCTTCAGTCAAATTTTTTCTAACGGGAAAATGACTTCCAAAAAATCATGGTCAACTCGCGCATAATAACTACCGAAGAGCCTGTTTTTCGCTGTTTACCTCAACGTTTGAAGATTTGTCTCCACTGCCGTGAATCGTGCACCAATCTCCTTAAGATGATCGGTTATTGACTTGTCCGGTTCTGACCTCTCTCTACACTTTTGTAACATTGCTAAGAAATTTGCAAGCAAAAAAGCACATGAGAAAGGAGGTTAGAGTTTTAGACATGTAAGTCTCTCGGGGCGTCTTAAGCAAAGGACCCAAAAAAGTTCCAATTCGAACAGAAAACGGTTTACCTGCAATCTCCGCCCTCGGCTTTATTTCACCTGCCACATAATATTTCTTCCGGACATTCTGAATATAAATGAATCAAAACATAATATATCATCTTCATCGAACTCCGTATTGACATAGCAGTACATTTAGCATTTTTTTTTTCCTTTTTCTCTTGCGTCCTCGTTATTTTGCTCTCTTTTGTCTCTTTTTCGCCATAAAAATTTAGATTTGGTGTTGTTCTTGCTGTTTTTTTATTTCTGTCAGTGAAGTTATACCTGAGGAAACTTTTTGTCGCTATGTGTTAGGGGCTTTATCTCGGGATAGGTCTCATACTGCTCTACGAGATAAACTGAGCCCTTTTTTTTTCAAAATGGTGGCGTCCTCTAGTTGAATTTTCGAAAGAGGAAGTTACGGAACTCAAACCTGGTTAGGTACATTTATTGTAATCATATACAGTTTCTAGACTTTTGCTTTAAAGATGCCGTAAAAATCATATTAACTTACCCAGAATCTAAACCTACTTCCCCACTCGACGACAGCCACGGCCTGCATTCTCATTGCAGTAAATGAATGCTGTGACTCCTCCTGCACAGTCTCGTAAGTCAGGGAGAGCTGAGCGATCAGCATATTCAGCAAGATGATGGTCACACTCAGCATGAAAGCAAGGATCAGAAATCCTCCAAAAACACTGACAAAGAAGTACAGAACATTTGCTTTGAGGTCAGTGATTCTAGCACCGGTTTAAAAAAAAATTAAAATCTCGACCAATAAACTTGTTACCATGATTAAAAATTATTATCTGTGCAAGCCTCATTTTCAAAAGAAAAAAGTTATATTAAATGCTAATACGGTAAGTACTTTAAAATTATATAGATATGCACCATCCGGAGTGCAGGAACTGAGATAAATAATGTTTGGGGCTGCGTCAATGGGAGTAACGAAATAATTTGGATATATCAACAAAGTTGAAATGGTAAATTGGCCACCGTAACGATTACAAAAGCTGACGTTTCGAGCGTTAGCCCTTCGTCGAAGCGAAGATAAATATAGATAAATATGGATAAATATAGATAAATATTGGTTAGGCCATTATTTAATTCTTTTTCTCTGTAAGACCACACAAATTAGAATACAGAGGTAACATAACCTTTCTTCGACTTCCTTCGCCGACTTTTGCTTCCTACAATTTCATCTTCCCTCCATTTTCCGTGTGTATCTATTTCATGGTCACAGACTCAGAGTATAACAGAATGAAACGCACTGAGATGTACTGATTAAACGACACTTGCTTTTATCCACCAGAGAGAAGGATTTACGGTTCGAGAATTCATTTCCTCAAATACCTCTTTGAAAGCTTAAAAATTTCCCTTAATATAGATATTTAGACGTATATGAGCACGATCCTTCGCAGTAAAGCACTATTTGAGCAATAGTGAAAATCAGACCTGAAAAAAAAATTTCAGGCCTGTACGGGATTCGAACCACTGACCTCTGCGATACTAGTGCAGCGCTCTACCAATTGAGCTAACAAGCCAACTGGGAGCAGGCCATCAAATTAATTCGATATAAACCCGTAGATGATAAATCAAACAACAACAAACATATGAAACATATGTATGAACTGCGGTTATGAAACGTATATGTGCACGATCCTTCGCAGTAAAGCACTATTTGAGCAATAGTGAAAATCAGACCTGAAAAAAAATTTCAGGCCTGTACGCCTCAAATAGTGCTTTACTGCGAAGGATCGTGCTCATATACGTCTCATAACCGCAGTTCACACATATGTTTCATATGTTTGTTGTTGTTTGATTTATCATCTACGGGTTTATGTCGAATTAATTTGATGGCCTGCTCCCAGTTGGCTTGTTAGCTCAATTGGTAGAGCGCTGCACTAGTATCGCAGAGGTCAGTGGTTCGAATCCCGTACAGGCCTGAAATTTTTTTTCAGGTCTGATTTTCACTATTGCTCAAATAGTGCTTTACTGCGAAGGATCGTGCTGATATACGTCTCATAACCGCAGTTCACACATATGTTTCATATGTTTGTTGTTGATAGATATTTAGCTTACCCAACAGCTTCGAAAGTGTTGACGACGAAAGTCCCGTCAAGCCAAGCGAACAGTCCCGCTAACATCACACACCATATTTCGCCAGTACACGATATGTCATTCCTAAGAGTTCTGAAAAAGATAAAAATGCAAGCAGAATGTGCTAAACAACCAGCTCTAAAATTTTAACACTAGCTCGAACTTGTTTAAGACTCCCATTTAAGTGAATACGTACCTATTGTTCACTAGTTCACCATTCAATAAGACCGTTTCTTTATGAGCTTGAAGCGCCAAGTAATACGAAATGGTGAAAGTGAAGAGGATTATACTAAACACATACAGAAATCTAGGCATGTCCCTGTAGATAACTTTATAAAGGCATTTGACGTATTCACCTATATATCTGAAATAAAGGAAAAAGGAACGATAACAGTTCACAGTATGATAACTCATATAGCATGTATCAGATTTGAGAACTTAGATTATGCATCATTATCAGCTTTAGGCTCAAGGGCTTAACATAACCTCTACCGTGTTACATTTACTTACCGAT